CTGAAATTCTTTCTGCCTGATGTCTACTGCAGGGTCATTGTTTGTTTCTTTGTTAAAAGATTCCTGGAGTGAATTTAAGACTATGGACATGATTTTCTGGAAGTAAGCAACATGAATTTGTTTTGTGTAAGCGCATAAAAGTTGTAGCAGCAGCCTGCTTTGGGTCAAGGGCTTAAAATTGGGCAGTACCATTTCTCTGGGATTAGAGATGTGACTTTGGTCCTCTTGAAAGCGTTCCCATGTTTGGCTAAGCAGTCTCTCTCTGAAGAGTTGCAGTATATGCATGCTGGGTTTGAAAATGAAGTTCTCAAGGCATTCTTCTGGCATTAGAGTATCCAGCAGGTCAATTCTGGTGACTGTAGGTAGGTCCTGAAGGTGAGTTTTATCCCACCTGAGTTCAGGTGTTTAACTGAATTTGGGCAACAATCTATTCTGACAGTCAACAGGTTTCTGCCCTGCTAGTGACCTAAAGGAGGAAGACCCTGCTTCCACAGCATAGTGGGTCTTTGGTTCCTTATTTTAATTCCTTATTTTTAAAATAGACCATTGTAAATGATCAAACTTGTAAAGCTAAGTATATTTAGCATATCTCTTCTGGCTTGCTGGGAAAGAAGAGTTTGTATACTTTAAACTGTGCAATCCCTCTTAGGTACAACTGAGGGTTTTCTAACTTTTTAGTTCTTGAGTTTCTGATGTATACATAGAAGAAATACATGGATCATGTTGATAAACTTTGGCAGTAGGAGCAACAAATTGAGCCCCAGTCTTGACATCTCTTACTGAAGATTTTAATATGATGAATAATGCAGAGTGCTTAATTCTCGAAGAGTAAAGTGAAAAACTGTTTTAACGCCTTTTGAGTTAATTTACTGGTTCCACTAGGGATCTGTGTTGGGACCACGTAGAGGACTCTGCTCCTCTACTGGAAGTCATCACCTGCAGAGTTGACTTTTTGAAGATGAGGTCTTTGCTCATTACTACACATTGTCTACTGAAGCATGAATACAACATGTCCAGGAAGTCTCAGCTTCTCCATTAGACGGGTACTACATAATCCATCGCCACATAATCTGTCTGATAAGTAAAACTACTGTACCAGAGCAGCCCATATTCTGTATATAGCAAGAGCTCCTATTTTCCAGCTGAGAGATCCAGCTGGTTTGTAATAGGGGAGGGCTTTGTGCTTGCTTGTAACTCCTGAAGACGCTGGCTGCCTAGTGTTCCTCAGAACGAGAACCTTTTCTGGGGCTCCTAGTGCCTGTGTGCTTTGCCTTGTTTAATAATTAAAAGGATTTTTTTTTTACCGGGAATTTTTTTTTTGCTTACTTGGAAAAAGAGAAATGATTTTGTGGTTTAGAACAGAAAGAAATCTGGAGCCTAACACAGGCTCTTCTTTCCTGCTCTTTTAGGAGAACATGAGATTGGCAAAAGTCTCCTACTCCTCCATGCCTTGCTAGCTTTCTGCAAAAGGGAAGTGGTGCTTATCTGAAAAGAGGGGTCTAAAGCTAAATAGTTTTTACAAATATACGTCCATGAATTTATCTTACTTAGCATATGAAAAACTGCATTTGTAGACGTGTCCTTTGGATCCATTGATCCAAGTGTTTGAGGGACTGAAAATAAACAGCAATAGTTGTAAAAAAACCCAAACAAAATTAGTTCTCTTATTATGTTGAATGCTTTCTTCAGCTTCAGTAAGAACATTTTGCATCTCAGTTGTCACTGTGTAAGTTTTGGTAGTTTGTTTAGCTACAGTGGGGAGTGTAGGCTTGGGTTGGAATCATTAATGACAATAACAAAACAACTAAACAAAACCCCCAAGCAAATGAAAAAGCAAACCTTCTGCCTGGATAAGGGACCCTGTTGGTGCTGAGGGCTCTAGGCTGGTGAGATCCTGTTGGTTTTGGCAGGACAGCTAACTTTGGCTGATATATTGGGACACAAATAGAAGTTAGAAGTAGTGGAAAGAAGAGCTGAGTTCAAATTTGCTGGAGGCCCTAGTGTTCTCCATATGGGTGGGTTTTGCAACACATAAGGTCAGGGTGGGCTGTGATGTTAGTAATAGCCTGTGGCCTGGGAGGCATTTTATTGAGTAGTAGTAGTATTACTGTATTTTCTTCTGTAAACCCCATGTTTCTTTTCCCTCATTTACTTCCCTCTGTTTACCCAAACCACTGGATTTTGCCTTGTAACCATAGTCTCTTCTGCTTTCCTTCTAAAATTCCTTCTTGCCCTTCTCTCCCCCAGTGTTCACATCCTCCCTCCAACTTTCTTTCACACCCATCTTATTTTTTTCCTCATTTCCCATGAAGCCTCTCCCTTCCTTCCTCTTCCACAACCAGCCATTTCACTTTCTTACCTTCCACTCCCATATTTTCCTTCTCTTGAGCTCTTTCCTCATATCTTGAACTCTACTTTCCTCGGTTCCCCCCATAATTTTTTCCCCACTTTGTCTTTCCTCTCCCTTCTCCTTGTATTGCTTCCCTCTCAGTTCAGGCTTTCCAGGTGGCATATTTTCCTTCTCTTGAGCTCTTTCCTCATATCTTGAACTCTACTTTCCTTGGTTCCCCCCATAATTTTTTCCCCAGTTTGTCTTTCCTCTCCCTTCTCCTTGTATTGCTTCCCTCTCAGTTCAGGCTTTCCAGGTGGCATATCTTCCTTCACCCTCCTGGTCCAGGCGATGGGCAGAGGAGGTATGGCAGCTGCCTAGGATGTGGTCATGAACACATAGGCCGTGTAAGTGGTAGGGACGAAGCACTCAAAATTCTTCTGTCTCCACCTTGTTTGCACATGCTTCCTGCTGAAGGCACGGCCTCCTTCAGAAAGGTCTCAGCTCTGTCTCTCCTAAGCCTGCATCAGTAGAAACTGCTGAAGCACTCAATACCTCTTGAGAAATCAGATAGTGTCATTACTTTTGACAAGACGTGGATTTTTGAGACGAACTTTTCATGCTTCCCTTTCTTTAGAAATGTTCATGTAGTAAGAAGATAGGAAATAGGATGATGCTCTATTTCACTCCTCTTCTACCCCCCAAATGCTTTTTGGTATTAATTCTTGCTGCAGTCTCACAAATCTCGTGTGATTCTGTTGTGCACATTTTCTTAAAACCATGGCTACTGCCATTTATATACTTAGTGCTGTTTGCTTTGCCACCATGTGCAATGTCTGGTTTTCTTCAGTCTTAACACCTACTACTTGAGAAACAACTTTGTCAATTTTAGAAGTATGCAGCCCGGCAGAGTATTACTACTTGTGACTTTCAGCAGCATGTGGTATAACATTTACTCTTTTCCCAAAATTTCCGTCTGTCTCCTACATCTATTACTGAAAATTGTTACTGACATTTCTGAATTGGAATGGGTAGCTCTAGGGAGAATATTTCCTCTTTTACATTTAGCCCAACAAGCTCTTGTGGAGAGGCTCTCCTTGTCTTTCCCCCTCCCTTTCCTTTTCATCAGTTACGAGTATTTTCTCACCTCTTTGTACGTTTTCAGCTTACCCTCACTCTTCATCGATACTGTGGGACAACATCGATGGGATATTTAATTTGAGGAATATTTAATTCATGTACTGTACTACACTACAATTGTGCAGAATTATTTAAAAATATACTAATTCTCTTGCAGCTTGTTATTCTTGATGACCAGGTAAAGCTAGCTAAGTATCATCCAGACCCACCTTATTGCACGTCGGACTTGAAACTGAATTTTTGAGCAATTAGCATTGTATTACCTTTATTCATGCTAGCGGTACCAAATTTTTTGGTGTAGATATCAGTCACATAGTAAAACCCTTTCTGGTAGCGTTAGTGAGTAATAGCAAAGCCTTTTGATGTGAAGACCTAGAAGTCAGAACTGGGATCTGTTCCTGAAACCGTGTGTGAGTAATTCTTACTCGCATTACTAACAATAGTGACTTAAATTAAATCAGATGAATCCAAGCACAGAATGGTAATTATTCTGCCATGGGAAAGCTGTCAGTATTTTTAGAGCTATTTTTATTGATGCATTTTAAAACCTCACTTATTCCAGTCCTTCCCCCTTTCTTTATTCTTGTACAAAAATAATCCATTAACTGTTTCTGGCTGGTATCTGCAAAGTGAAAGTTGTGTTCCTTTGAAGCTGAATAGAAGGAAACATCATGTCTGTAGTTTCACTGTCTGTGTATAAAATAGTAATTTATTAAAAAATATTTATAATATCTAACCCTTTGATTTTCAGATCTGTTTAGCTCTAAAATATCCTAGGTATTTTATAGTCCCCAAATAGCTTAAGTTCCATATTTAAGTCTTAGATTTTAATGCTGAACCACGTATTTGTAAAGGTACATGAAAGCTAATTTAATCAGAGGAAAATTTAGATAAAGACTGCTTCATATTAGAAAGAACTCATTAGAGGATGATGACTTAGTGGTGAAGCCTTTGTGAAACAGCTTTTCGCTTAACAGGGAAACTAACTCTTATCTTCTGGATATGGAAGGGTTTTTTTCCCTGTAATTTTGGAATGACAATTTTTTGTTTTGGTTTTTTTTCCCCTTGAGAAACAGAGGGAGAGACAAAAAAATCTGAACAGAATACTACTGTCCTCATTTCTAAGGAAGAACAAATAACAAGTAACAGCTTATAATGTAGTAACACAATCTGAAGGGCCAAATGATAAATTAATGGAAACGGGTTCTTGTATACTGTTTTGGAGACTAAACACATTAGATAGAATTGTTTCACAACCAGCATGCCTAATTATTGTGTCTGCCACATTCATCTATTTAAATCATTCCCAACTTCTGGATTGCTGCCTAGAATATTACTGCAATATGTGTTTCAACTGGTTATTCCCTTGTCATGCGTAACTTCATGAAGGAGGCTGATTTTGTTTGGGAAAAAAGAAATAAAAGTGAGCATTGGCAGTATGTTTATGATATCTGATAAAAAGGGATGATAGCTTTCGTAATGTTGATTTGAATGAGTTGCATGTGAACTGATACTGTATTTGTTTTGTCAGGTCAGTGACTTAAAAAGTGCCTTTGCCAAGTCACTTTTACGAGCGAGGACTGCTACGCCCGTGTTCTCAAAATCCTGTCTTTGCCAGCCAGACATTGCCTTCACCTTACACCTGGCGGAAGATACCTCAGCTGTCTCCATTTGCCAATTAGTTGATGGGAAACTGAAAGCAGGAAAAGAGGAAGAATTATTATTCCTGGGACATGAACAAATGACTGCATTGCTTTTCTTGTGTAATCAATACCAGCAAGCAACCGTCAGAGAACTGCTATTCTATCAAGGAGTGCCATTGCATTGAAGGACCTTGGCTTAAAACTGGTTCATCCGTGATACAATCAACAAGCCCACGTGTTTTACAGACAGAAATGCGACTGAGCATGGTTTTTCCCAGCCAAAAGTCTACAAGTGGGACTTAATGATTGATGAGTAACTGCTTGCTGATAAACTTTCTCTGTTTATTCTGCTTTGTGTGCGTTGGACCTCGTTAATCGTCCCCCACTTTTTTTTAAACTTTCTTTTCAATTGGAATTGAAATTATTTTTTTCTGGTTGTTTTTTTGTTTTTTTTTCTTTTTCCCTCCCTTCCCTTCGTCATTAGTTTTGGAAATTTCTTCGGCATAATTCACTTGACAGCAATTTACAAATTCGAAATCAGCTTTTCATCATGGCTTTGAATGTTGCTCCCGTAAGAGATACAAAATGGCTAACATTAGAAGTGTGCAGGCAGTTTCAGAGGGGAACTTGTTCACGCTCTGATGAAGAATGCAAATTTGCACACCCCCCTAAAAGTTGCCAGGTTGAAAATGGGAGAGTTATTGCCTGCTTTGATTCCTTAAAGGTAAGAAAAAAAAAATGCATGTGTAGTGAAAATGCTACTACATTGTACTGAAAGTAAAATGTGAAATGATAAGTTACAACTAAACCAGGTTAATCAGAAAGTGATTTGTTCTCGGTAAGATGTATATTAATACAAATGTTACTTGTCATCGCTTTTATTTATTGAAGCTTTGAAAAGATTTCTTTCTAAGGATTTTCATTTCCAGTGTCAATATGTTGTTTACAAAAGTTGCGTATGACTGTGGGGTACAGCATTGCTTACAGTTGGTGGGACAATTGTATTCTCCCAAGTACATTTTATGAATTATCATTGTTTCGTGGCAAATGAAAATACATGGTGGCACAGTACTAGGCCATTACCTAATGAAACAAATCATATGGAAAGAGTGCAGATTCTTTCGTTTAAATCAACAGAAGTAAGACAAGTCTATCTGTTACTTCAATTTCGACACAACGGGTTGTTTACCCTTGGTATTGGAGACTCTCAGATAAATTAATGGCATTCATAATTACATGTATGGATAGTGCAGATAGCAGTGTAAGTTTAGAACAGAGTGAAGGGATTCTCTCCTCTGGAGGATATTTAGCAATTTTGTTAGGCCATCAACAACTTCTGACTTCCTAATGACATCAGGCATGCTTTAGAAAAGTATTTTAAAAGTTCTGTGAAAATACTTTGTGTACTGCATAAAAGAAGATTAATGACCCCATGGGATTTGGGGAGTACACAGTGTTTTCTGTGATGATACATGTGTGTTCTCATGCCAACAGAAGGAAAAAGCTTATTTCGTGTAAATAATTAAGGGGCAAAATTGAGCATTTCAGGTCTTATTTTGAAAGTTTTAGTTGTGGCTTTGTCTTTTGGGCATGGGGGAATGTTTTGGCTTGCTTTTTAAATTTAGCTCTGTAGATTAAAATTTCAGTTACTCACCAAGAACTCTTACTGTGAAAACATCAGTGTGAATGAGAAGAAAATTCGGTGTTATTTGAAAATGTTAATTTATTTTCATTATAACTTTTTTTCCTGCAATGCAAGGTCTTTCTTCTGGGTTTTCTCATTTCTTTTCTTCTTTCGAAGATTTAGAAGGAAGTAACTCGGGGGAAATGTTTGTGAGGGGGTTACATTCTGCATATCCTGCAAGCCAGAACAGCATCTTTGGAGTCATGACAGTATGTCATCAAGTGCTATTAATGACTTTAATCCATGGATTACTGCATGATAAACTGTAACAGCTTCTTTATAGATGTTCTTGTATATTGGCTGCCTGCCAATGGGATAATTTTTTTTAAACAGGCAGGCTAGTGTCTGCAGCAAATGGGCAGTAATCAGCTTTTATGAAAAATAAGCAAGTCAGTAGAAGTTTTTTTTTAAATAGAATTTTTAACTACTGTAAAGACTCGGGGCTGTGGCTGGGAGGCTGGAGGTGGGCATCGGGGCTTGGTAACCTGTGAGCTGGCAGGGCGTTGGGTTTGCAGTGCAAGAGGTGCTGCTGCTGCATCATCCTGGCCGAAGCGGCGATGCACCTGTCCTCACTGCCCAAGGACAGCATCGTTCTCCCTGGCAGCGTAGGGTGCTCGCAGCAGAGGTGCCAGCTATTCCAGCTGGAGACTTTTGTGCAAGGATGGTTATCACCCACAAATTGAAACTGGAGTCACAGCCTAAGCTAATAATACCGTGAAGAGAAATCCTGAGGGATCGCTGTGGATAACTTACTGACAACCAGCATCATTGCTCAGTGGAGAGAAGTCCAAAACCATGTAAAAAATGTAGTCAAAGCAAGCAGGTGTGTCTTGTCCTAGTGTGGGAGGGCATCTGCTCCAAGGGGCCAGCTCGTTCCAGCCCGGCTCTGGTGGCTGAAGCGGTGCTGCTCTGTCCCGCTGCCCATCATCACCCTCTTCCCAGCTGGCAGAAGGGAGCATGCACCTGGGTCTCCTGTCTTGTGTTTTCTAGTTGAGTCTATCGGGTTAAATTGCTGGTAAAGATGCGATTATACCAAGAAGCCAGATTGTGACCTGAAGCAGCAGAGGTGGAGGTGCAGGTTTCTTCCCACCAACCCTGCTGCAGGCAGAGGGAGATCCGATAACGGGACGACGACATCTTCAATTGCAGCTCCTCGCCGCTGAGCATGAGTCGGAGCCATGCATTTTGGTGTGCTGCTTGACCCTGTGGTGCATAAAAAGCTGTTAGGGATCATTGCGAGTGCATGGCTCTTGGCTGTATCAACTGGTATCCTCGCAGCCATTATCTCCGTTATTCAGAAGAGTGTTTGGAAATCACTGTCTGTATGGCAAGAACGTGCCTGGCTAGCTCAGTTTGCTTATACTGCCGGTTGAAGGACTTATGTCATTAGTCACATAAATCTATTTGATGCGTAGCTTTCGGAAATACGGGTGTTAATCATACAGTTTCAGAATAAGGCTTTGGCACTTCACAAGCAGGATAACTTTTCATGTAAAGAAACAAACAGAACAGTCCAGAATTATAGATTTAATCAGAATTTAATTAAAAAAACCCAAGAGCTGTTTTCCTTGCTGAACACTGAACCACACTAATGCAGGCGATTATTTAGAGTTTATTTACATAATATCTAGAGCTTTGGAGACAGTGTTTTAACTGTCTTGGTGTACCTGCTGTAAAAATAAATTATAGTGAGTATGTTGAGTCTCTTTGAACAAACATCTTCCTACCCAGAGAAGACAGAGAATTTTTTTAGTCTCAGATTGAGGTATGTGTTACATTTAGGTGGTGCTGGTAGTTACAGCTGATCCCTAAGAAGTCAGTCAAACACAAGATACAGCACTCTGAGACAGGCTCTCCTTTACATGCTGATTGATCAAAAGAGCCCCTGTTTTAGGAAGGGACATGCACTCTCCTGCATGCCGCCTTCTTTCCAGATTTCCAGGGTAGATGAGGGAGCAAGGTTTCAGTATCTGCCAGCTGGATCAGACTGCCAAAGCACCAGTATGGAGCTACAGGAGAGAGTCCAGCAAAGGGCCACAAAGATGATGAAGGGTCTGGAGCATCTTTCCTATGAGGAGAGGCTGAGAGAGCTGGGACTGTTCAGCCTGGAGAAGAGAAGGCTCAGGGGGATCTCATCAATTTATATAAATACCTGAAGGGAGGGTGCAAAGAGGAGGAAGCCAGGCCCTGCTCAGTGGTGCCCAGTGACAGGACCAGAGGCAATGGGCACAAACTGAAACACAGGAGGTTCCCTCTGAACATCAGGAAACACTTTGTCACTGTGAGGGTGACTGAGCACGGGTGACTGAGCACAGGCACAGGTTGCCCAGGGAGGCTGTGGATTCTCCATCTTTGGAGATACTCAAAAGCTGTCTGGACATGGTCCTTGGGCAGCCGGCTCTAGGTGGCCCTGCTTGAGCAGGGGATTGGACCAGATGATGTACAGAGGACCCTTCCAACTTCAACCATCCTGTGATTGTGTGACCAGAAGCACCTTCATGCTGACTTGCCCATAGCCCTAAGGCTATGGCAAGCCAGCCATATGGTTGTTCTAAGCTAGCAAGAGCTGGCGTTGGGACTGAAGGAAATAATCCCAGCCAGGGACACCTGCCACCACACTGTGCCACGTCCTCCTTTGTGCTCCCACCACTGTCTTTGTGATTGTGTGGTGCACCAGGTTGGGAAATTGATTGTGGTGAAACCTAAGTTGTTCTTGTAGCTGCTGCTGACAGAAGGGAGAGGGGCCGTGTGGCACCAGCAGAGCACTGGGTCACTTCTGTCGGTGATAGTGCAGTGGCCTTAGGCCATGCTTCGAGAGTAACAAGATTGCATCAGAATCCAAATTTTCCTGTATTAAAGAAGTATATTTGTAGGTCTGTTGGTTCCAAGTAAAAGGTCAACAGGATTTAACGGACCCTGTTTACTTTTAACTCAGAAGGGATTTTTGGCTCTGAATACCTGTCCTTGCAATACTTGACTTTAAACCCAGCAAAAGTTGCAACAGCAACCCATTGGACTGATTACAGTTTTGAGGATCCAGAATGCTCACTGTTGAAGCCCATCTGGGCTCTGAATATCCTTCATCCGTGAGATGCTCCAGGCTAGACAGAGATAGCTAAAGACTAATGAGCCTGGTTCAGATTCAGGCCAGAAACTTGCTGATTTCAAGCCAGGTTCTGCTGCATGGGCTTCTGAGATGCGGCTCAGCATTTGTTCCTCGCTCTTTGGTGAAGGACAGAGCCTGGTCGATTCTGACCAGGGCATTTTTGGGTTGCTAGGAGAGTGTAGGTGGATCATCCCTGTGCACCCGATGGATGATGGATGCAGCAGTCAGTCAAATGCGTGCCTGTTAGCCGGTCATAACATCGCCTCCAGTGATGGGGCTTCCTCCAGCAGAAGCCCCCTGTGACTTGGCCAGCTGGTGTGGCCACATGGGCGCACCCAAAACTGTACTGGGCAAGTGGCCTCAGTGGGCTTAATGTGAGGAGGAAAGTGTCTCCGAGCTAATCGGGTTGACTGCCTGAGGTGAATGAAAGGGGTACTTCCATGGCAAGGCCCAGAGACCTGCCGGTGTGCAGGAAGATGGAGGATGCTGAGGAAGCACTGCCAGAGCTGGAGCCTCATCTCCTGCCTTAAACACCCCCGAAGCCTTTTTGGAGCCCTTACAGGCTCCTCTTTGGATGCTGCAGTGTTTGTGCAGTGGGAAGGGTCTGTGAAGAGGCCTGTCTAACTGGGAAGTTTGAATTTCAGGAACTGCTCTGTTTATATTTTTATACTTCTTGCTGGGTTCAAGTAGCTTAATTTAAAAGTGAAGAACCTGAATATATAACACTTAATATATCACATTTAGATCCCTCCAAGTTGGACACCATAAGCAAACCTGTTTTCAAGGCTTTCTTGTCCTTCTAGTAGTAAAGAATGAAATCCTTTCAAAGGAATGCTAATACGTAATACAATGTCTGGGAACAAGAACATGCAACACTTTGCTGTATTTGAGCTGGAGTTAAAAAAACCAACATTAAAATGAATGGTGACGTCTA